TTCCTGATCAGCCGGGCTGTGGCTCGTATGTTGGTTTGCGTGCAGCCAGCAGCAACAGCCTGGTTGATCAGGCTCTGATCCACCAGGAGGCCTGGTCTCAGACCGGGCCGTGGGGGCGTTGACCCCCGGAACTCTCTCCAGGTAAACTCCAGGTACACATTAATAAAGGAGTATTTGTGCAGGTGGGCCTGCTTTACAGCATTTCACTAATGCAGTGGTTTTCAGTTATACCCATTCTTCATTTATTCAGTCGTCCTACAATAAATATACAGCCTCAGCCTCACTTAATGATGGAGTTCCTTTCCTAAGAACTCGTCAGTAAACAAATTCGTTGATAAGTGAGAAGCATACTGTAATGTTAGTGGGCTTGTGCCATCCATCTTTGGTATTGTTTTAATGTCACCTTTGCACCATTTGTAACATTTCTGGTACACTTTTAAATGTTTATACAGTAGTGTACTGTATACAGTAGACAGTCACTTAACATGGTAGTTACGTTCCTGAAAACGCCGTGTTAGGTAAAGCCGTGTTAGATGAACTGAAGAACTTATGGGAAAAATTGGGTTGCATTCCTGGGAGCCCCCAAGAAGCCAAACAACTTTTTTTTAGAACAAACAGATCTTACAAAAATAAAAGTAAATATGTAATTGTAATTCATTGTCATGATATATTACTGCTTAAGACTACAAATGCAATAGAAATAATAGTATTTCTTGCCTTAAATTGTAGGTAATGGTGTTTGGATGATTGTGAAGAGAGTGGATATGCATGTTGTGGCCTTACAGGGCTGAGGTGGATGGTTGTTGGTTGTCAACAGAAGTGGATGGTAGAGGTTCTGGTGCTGAAGTCGATGGTTGTATTGGAGTGTGCATAAATTTTGTAATGAATCTCTGGGCTCTTTTACCCTGCGGTACATTGTACAGCTGACGGTAAGGCTGGTCTATACCCTGTTTCAAAGCACAGCTTCTTGATTTGTCAGGGTCCTCTTCAGTGAAAATGTCTGCTAGTTTAACAGCAACATGGAAATGCTCATGTAACTGCTGCCATGTTAACTGTTTTTCTTCAGGGTCTTCATCTTCTGTTATCTCCCTCCCTTGTATCTAAGCATCGAGCTCTGCCAACATTTCCTCTGGGCTCCTGTCATCATCATCATCATCATCTTCTAAGAGCTCATTCACATCTTCATTCATATCTTCAAAACCATCACCTGGTAATCTCCTTGCCAGCTGAACAGTTTCCTGAACCTGACCCCTCAAGCAAGGGAAAACCAGTGAAAGAATTAACTACAGTAGGCCACAACTTTCCCCAGCCTGCATTTAATGTTGATTGGGGCACTTCATTCCATTCACTTCTAGCATAGCTGATAGCATCTGCAATGTTAAATTTATTCCAGAAGCTTGGTACTGCCAAGTTGGAATCAGAGTCCATTAATGCAACTAATTTTTTTGTAACTTTTTTTGTGTAGTTACACTTGAATGACTACTAACTCCCCAATCCAGTGGTTGAATTAGAGATGCCATATTTGGAGGTAAAAATACAACTTTTACAAGTGGGGTCACATCCAGCAAAGCTTGTGGATGAGTACAGGAATTATCAAGAATGAATAGAGCCTTGAATGCAAGGTTCTTGCTGTGCAGGTAAAACTTGACTTCAGGAATAAAGTGATGCTTAAACCAGTCAATAAATATTTCCTCTGTCATCCATGCTGATTGGTTTGACCTCCAAATTACTGTAAGGTGTTTTTATCTACACCTTTCAAAGCATGAGGATTCTTAGAGCAGTAAATAACCATGGACTTACTCTTGAAATCACCTGATGCATTACCGCAAAGGAGCAAGATGAAGCGATCCTTTGCTGTCTTGAAGCCTGGTGCACTCTTCTCTTGCTGAGTGATATAAGTTCATGTTGGCATTTTTTTCCAAAAAACACTTGTGTCGTCAGCATTAAACACTTGATGTGGCTCATAGCCACCCTCAGAAATAATTTCCTGCAATTCAGCAGAGAAATTACTTGCTTCTGTAAGATCAACTGAAGCACTTTCACCAGAAAACTTAATATTATGTAACTTATTATGCAACTTAAAGTTGTGGAACCAGCCTGTGCTGAACACACACTTTTTCAGGCCTTCCTTCCTTATCACACACTGCTTTAAACAACTGTAAGGTCTTTTCCTCTAATTAAGAGGAAATTAAGTGGTGCACCTTTCTTTGTCTTTTGTTCGATCCACTCTAGCAACAGGTTTTCTGTTTTATTTACTTGTTGGGACCTACGTGTCATTCTTTTAGTGAGATGACATCTTGGGTTATTCATTACACAAGCTTGTATATTTGCCTTGTTCTTTTTAATTATACGAACTGACGCTTCATTAAGGCCATAGGCCCTCACCATACCCACCACACGTGAGCCACTCTTAAGCTTATCTAATACGTATTTCGATTTTCTTCGCAACTCCTAGACTTGAACGCTTAAACCTTTTCTTTTCACTTTCAGCAACAATTGTATACTTACTGGGTGCCATGATTGCTTGGCAGATTTAACAAATGGCAATGAAAATATGTACAATGAATGTAAATAAACACAGCGAGGTTCCCTAGTATCATCGTCCTACACATGTATGAACCGAACTGGAGGCTGGGAGCATGGTGTGGGTGGCGGGGGGATGACGGTAGGTCTTCCGATTGACTCATTGGTGTAACCCACTGCGGGTGACCGGGCGACCGCGTGCTCAAAATTTTTTCCCCTCCCATGAACCGTGTTAAATTGATTTTACGACATGTTATATAAATTTGTGCCGCAGTTTTTCAATCTTGCTATACCTGAATCGTGCCAAATAAACTCATGCTCAATGACGGTCCACTGTATTGTAATAAACAGAATAAAGGAAATTAGCTCTATTATACTCCAGTGATTCTCCAATACTGAAACTATGTATTGTGCCAAAACAAAAGCATTCACATTGCTAAACTCACAAATTAGTATTTAGTCACTTAGCCATAATACCAACTTACCTCATAATTTGTAATATTTTAAAGTTAAGAATTATTCTAAGTCTGCCCGAAATGCCTAGCCATGCTAGGTGTTCTAGTGGCACCCTCTGTAATTAGTATTTTACTACATGTAAACCACACAATAACCAAATTCTGTAAACTCAGCATTGTAATTCTTATAGAGAATAAACTTTGAATGAATTGAATTGAATTTGGGTATGCATACTGGTCAGAGAGCCCATTGTACGTCCGAGTCGTCGGTAAACGAGTATGTTGCTGAGTGAGGAGAGGCTGTGTTCACCACCCACTATAAGCTAAGGATGAAAATATTTTAAGAAATGAGTGTACTGTATGTGCATTTTTTAGGTTTAGCTCTATTGCTTACTTAATATATGATAGTGTAAACATGTTATCAGGCTTTTATATGCATTTGACAGTAAAAAAAAAGGCTGTTTAACTTTGTAGCAGTAGCCAAGAACCTAACCTGTTGTATAAGTGGGACCTGCCTGTATATTGAATGATTTATTTATTTATTTATTTATTTATTAACAATTTGAGCACACATACAGAGGTACAAAAAAATACAGATAAGAGCAGCATGCCAAAGCCACTTATACTATGCATAGCATTACGGGCTGGCTTAAAATTAACTTAAGATTAACTAAGCAATGATGAAATCAGTGATAAAACATTAATGTAAACATATTACTATAAAGCACAAGTGAGTATTACAAAGACAGGTCATATGGTTGCATGCATTGTTGTACATTCAGTCGTATGAAGTATTCTGTTAGGTAGTGTATTTAAAAAATAATAAAGTTAGATTCGGTTTTAGGTTTAACATGTATGTGATATAATTGTGAGAAACATTTAAGATATACAAGGAGGGGTGTTAATGTTGCACTTTAAAAACTGTAGTGTAAAGCACCCTTCTGGCAAGACAGTGATGGAGTGAATGATGGTGAAAGTTTTTCTTTTTCGGGCCACCCTGGCCTTTGTGGAATCGGCCGGTGTGATAATAAAAAAATAAAATTTATAAGGTGTTCAGTTATTCAGTATTTATTTGGTTTTGGGTGAGTAAGTGATCTTTGAGAAGAGACTTGAATTTATAAACAGGTAGTGTTTCTTTTATATTTACAGGTAATGAATTCCAGATTTTTAGGGCCTTTATGTTGCATTGAGTTTTTGCATAGTGTGAGATGGACACGAGGTACATCAAAGAGTGATCTGTGCCTTGTGTTATGGTCATGTGTTCTGTTGAGGTTGGCAAGGCAGATGTTTTGAGGGAGGGTTAATGTCAGAGTTAAGTGGTTCTATGTATGTAATAGGTGCAGTAATAAGTATGGATGTTTTGTATGGTGAGTAGGTTTAGTGTATTGAATATTGTGGAGTGTGCTGCCTGTAGTGAGAATTTGTTATCATTCTAAACTGCAGCCTTTTGTTGGGTAATTAGTGGTCTGAGATGGTAATTGTTGTTGAGCCCCATGCACAAATTCCATAGGTGAGTATAGGGGAAATAAGAGAGTGATATAGGGCCAGGAGGGCTGACTGTGGAACATAGTACCGTATCTTCGATAGTATGCTACAGTCTTGGAAATTTTCTTAGAAATTTGTCGTATATGTGTATGAAATTTGAGTCTATTATCAAGGTGGATTCCTAAGAATTTTCCCTCTGTTAGCTTTGTGATAGGTGATCCGTTTATCATTATGTTAAGAGGGACATCTGTAGCTCTGTTACCAAACTGAATGAAGTAGGTTTTGTCAATGTTTAGTGTAAGTTTGTTAGTCCTCATGCAGGTAGATATTTTCTGTAATTCGGTATTTACAGTATTGGCTAGCGTGACTGGGCTCGGGTGAGAGAAGACGTATGTAGTGTCATCTGCAAATAGTGTGGGTTTGAGTAATTGCGAAGCATTTGGAAGGTCATTTATGTATAAGAGAAAGAGAACTACTGCACATTTATTATTCTAATTTGTATACTTTTTATAAGATCTTTTATTTACTGTTTATAAGATTTTTTTGAATTTCAGAATGGAAGAAGCAGATGTGAAGCAGCTTATATCTCTAATTGAGTCAGCTCAGTTGCAGTACGAAGTAGACGAGTCTGGAACAGTATCTATTGTTTGTGATCCAGTTCAGGTAATTATGGTAAATTCAAAATTTTATTGATTTGGCTCCCCAAAAATCAATAAGCATTAATGCATTATCATCCAGTGCTTACTCATTAGCCTCCACTGTTGAGCTGAATTCTCAAATTTTGAATTACAGTACTATTGTTAAAATCTTAATTGGTAAGAAAAAGACTAAGTAATGAGAGAAAAGTCTGTCTCCACACATCTCTGTACATCATACCATGAAAGGATATTTCAGATTATGCATGTGATTCAAAACGTTCAGCAATGCAGTGTGTCAGTATCAGTTAAAAAAAAAAAAACTCAAGTTTTAACCTGACTTATTGTATTTATATTAATTGTGCTTATTTCAGGTGAACTCGTGGTCAAAATTTCGGCCTACTTTTTTATTTTTCAACCAATTTTTTTTATTTTTGGTGTACGTTTAGAGGTTCATATGTAGAAGAATGTGACAAAGTTTCAGTATGATTGGCCAACAAACGACAGAGAAAAAAATATTTAATGACTTTTCATATATGGCAGCAAGAATGACAAAATGGCACTACGAGTGGCACTTCCGACAATCCCAACCGTTAGAATATGTCTGACACGAATTTTGGATGCACGTGTTTCATCTAATATATCTTATTATCATGGAAAAAAAAAAAACATTTGATAGACTTTTTGGCATTCACCAAAATATCTGCCTTTTACCTCCCACAAAATAAAAAATATTTGATATATTCAAAAAAAAGAAGCACCAAAAAGTCAAACACACTTTGTTTTATATTGTCTGTGAAAATCATTTCAATACAATCATTAATAATGGTGTAGGTCAGCGAAATAAGTGAAAAAGTTTCTTCCGAGATATAGGCCTGGAACGCCGGCCGGCCCGCTGTCTCAAAATTTTTTTTTTTTCGCGAAAATCGCGTTTGTTTCAGTGGTTTTCTAAGTAAACTGATGTTCTAGTGCAGTTATCCTCTTCAAAATACCGTTTTCTATCACTCGCAGACCAAACAATACAACAAGGAGACGAGGAGTAACTCATTTACAGTATATCGAAATATTGCTGGTGGACTCTCACCATATTATGGCCTATTTTATTCAGTCTAGAGTATATAACATGTTCGTTTGTTATTTATAGTGTTTATTATATCATATTAGATCAATTCTGATAGATAAATAAGCCGTATAGCTGATATATAAGCTGATATAAACGTAATAATGAAGTGATTTCACCTGGCACCATCTGGAGGGGGAGTACTGCCAAGTGTTCTCAGATGGCTCCCGATTGGCTGGCACTCTACTGATAAGCTCCACCTACTCTTATATGATGCCAAATAATCAATTATTATATTAGAAAGAATAATGCAAAGAAAAAGCGATAAAAAACAAGGAAAAAATTCCAAAAAATACATGAGTTGAGAACAGAGGCGCTACCTATATCGCTGTTACCATACCTGATATAAATTACTATAATTTCTTGTAGAAACGTCTTAGAACATTGATTCTTGTACCATTGTGTTGCCAAAGAGTTAAGCTATTTTTCTATTTGAATAATTCAATTTCCATAATTTTTCAATTTTTTCTTGAGAGCGCGCTGAAATTTCTTCTTCCTGCCTTAATGCAAAATGTCATGTGTATTACTTTTTAGGAGTCCAGACTGTTTTATCTGGCTCTCATTTTTTTTTACTGTGTATTATAATATAAGTATAATTATGTTCTAGTATGATGAAATGCACCCAAAATTAACCAGACAAACTGCACTTAATACTTCCCTAAATAATTTAAGACTGCTCAATTTAAAATTGTTTCAATTTCATTACTGCATGTTGTGCTGAGGATTGCTCAACTATTTACTCATTACTTCAAAATTAGGATATTTAAATTTCATTGTTTTAAATAGTGCTAAATTGTAATACATCATATTGTAAATTGTTTTAAAATGTTCTATTGTAATACAGTGGACCCCCGGTATTCGATGGCATCGGTATTCGATAAATCCGGTATTCGATGCATTATATCGCAAAAAATTTTCCTCAGTATTCGATTGAAAACCCGGTATTCGATATGATTCGTATGAGACGTGTCCACGTGTGGCCTGAACTGCCCCATGTGTGCTAGCGTTTACATGCCAGCCAGTGTGCGCGCATCTAAGGATACATTCAGTACATTCCATATTATCCATATTATCGCTGTGTTTGGTGCTTGTTTCTGCAAAATAAGTCACCATGGGCCCCAAGAAAGCTTCTAGTGCCAACCCTTTGAGAAAAAAGTCGCTAATGACTTATGAAATGAAGAAAGAGATAATTGCAAAGTACGAAAGTGGAGTGCGTGTGTCGGAGCTGGTTAGGTTGTATAATAAACCCCAATCAACCATCTCTACTATAGTGACCAGGAAAACGGCAATCAAGGAAGCTGTTCTTGCAAAAGGTGCAACTGTGATTACGAAACAGCGACCGCAAGTGTTAGAAAATGCTGAGAGATTGTTATTGGTGTGGATAAATGAAAAACAGATAGCAGGAGATAGCATCTCTCAAGCAGTCATTTGTGAAAAGGCTAGGCAGTTGCATGATGATTTGGTAAAGAAATTGCCTTCAACTAGTGGTGATGTGAGTGAGTTTAAGGCCAGCAAAGGTTGGTTTGAAAGATTTAAGAATCGTAGTGGCATACATAGTGTGATTAGGCATGCTGAGGTTGCCAGTTCGGACCAAAAAGCAGCTGAAAAATATGTGAAGGAATTCAAGGATTACATAGACAGTGAAGGACTGAAACCTGAACAAGTGTTTAATTACGACGAAACAGGCCTGTTTTGGAAGAAAATGCCAAGCAGGACCTACATTACTGAGGAGGAAAAGGCACTCCCAGGACATAAGCCTATGAAAGACAGGCTTACTCTTCTCATGTGTGCCTATGCTAGTGGTGATTGCAAAGTGAAGCCTTTATTGGTGTATCACTCTAAAAACTCCCAGAGTGTTCAGAAAAACAATGTCCTCAAGGCTAATTTGTGTGTGCTGTGGAGGGCAAACAGTAAGCAGGGGTCACTAGGGACTTTTTCTATGACTGGTTACACTAAGCATTTGCCCCCACTGTGAAAAATTACTTAACTGAAAAGAAATTAGACGTTAAGTGCCTCCTGGTATTAGACAATGCCCCTGGTCATCCTACAGACTTGGCAGAGCGCCCTTTGGGGGGACATGAGCTTCATTAAGGTCAAGTTTTTGCCTCCTAATGCCACTCCTCTCCTGCAGCCCATGGACCAGCATGTCATTTCCAACTTCAGAAACTGTACACAAAAGCTATTTTCAAAATGCTTTATAGTGACCACAGAAAACTCAACTGACTCTAAAAGATTTTTGGAAGGATCACTTTAATATCCTCAATTGTATAAACCTTATAGGTACGGCTTGGGGGGAGTGACTAAGGACCTTGAACTCTGCTTGGAAAAAATTTTGGGCCAGAATGTGTAGACAAAAGGGATTTTGAAGGTTTTGAGGCTAACCCTAGAATCCTATCCATTTTGAGGAATCATTGTGGCATTGGGAAGCCTTGGGGTTGGGTTAGGGGGGAGGATGTGGAAGAGTTGGTGGAGGACAGTGAAGAACTAACCACTGATGAGCTGATAGATCATCTTCAACAGCAAGAGGCCACACTTGAGGAAACTGCTTCGGGGGAAAGGGGATAGAGAAATTGAAGAAGTTGCCTACTTCAAAGATTAAGGAAACGTGTGCAATGTGGCTTAAAGTGCAAACCTTTTTTAATGAAAATCACCCTCACACAGCTATTGCAAGCCATGTTGGCAACCTGTACACTGACAGTGTTGTGAAACACTTTAGGAATGTCATAAAGGAACGGGAGGTACAGGCCTCTATGGACAGATATGTTGTGCGACAGAGGTCCAGTGACTCTGAAGCTGGTCCTAGTGGCATTAAAAGAAGAAGGGAAGTAACCCCGGAAAAGGACTTGCTACCTCAAGTCCTAATGGAAGGGGATTCCCCTTCTAAACACTAACACCCCTCCCCTCCTCCCATCCCATCAATCATCACCAGATCTTCATTAAAGGTAAGTGTCAATTATTTTATTGTTATTGTAATTATTCTATTGCATTAAACTTAATATTTCATGTAGTAAATTTTTTTTTTCATACTTTTGGGTGTCTTGCACGGATTAATTTGATTTTCTTTATTTCTTATGAGGAAAATTGATTCGGTTTTCGATATTTTCGGTATTCAATGAGCTCTCAGGAACGGATTAATATCGAATACCGGGGGTCCACTGTACTGTAATTTTTATAAATTAATTCAATACTGTACTGTAATTATTCACTACTGAACTTCTCTACTAGACTTATTAAATCCATATAGCATTACCTAATATTACCCAATTCTCTTGTACTCACTGTAACTCATCTAATGCCCATATGAACTGTTATTGCCTTATTAATTTTAAGTTAATTTTAAGTTTGCCCAAAATGCTCTGCATACAAAGGATCTTTTGGCATGTACACCCAACTATTATATTCCTTTGTACAACCATGTATCATGTCAAAATAAACCTAGTATTATTATTAATATAATACAATTATTTCAAAATTACTGTGCATTCAAACTAAACTATGCCCAGTATTTTGGGCATAGTTTAGTCTAGTCCTAAAATCAACGTAGTTAATTTTTTATTTTTAAGGGTCTAACACTTTGTATTAATATAAACTTAACAAAGATAAAAGTTAAAAGATGATAATTCTCGAATTAAAAAAAATATTACGATTGTTTAGTTATGCACGGGTGAGTGGTATTATGAAGTTACTAAACATTATAATACAGTATAGACAACTCCAAGCAGGGAGTTAAGAACAAGATCAGTATACAGCCTCTCCTCACTTAACGATGGAGTTCTGTTCCTAAGACCACGTTGGTTAACGAATTCGTCACTAAGTGAGGAGCATACTGTAATGGTAGTGGGTTTGTGTCAACCATCTTTGATATTGTTTTAATGTCATCTTTGCACCATTCATAACATTTCTGGCAT